TAATTATACTACTTTTCCAATGTAATTAATTCCTCATTAGTAATGTATTATAGTCTTCTCATTCTTCCTATGTATTTCTTTTCTCCGTTTGAGTAATTGTCAACTTTATCATTGTGCAAGCTATGGTATTCCATGATTTACAGCCATAAAATGTCACAACTAGGATACTAATATTAGAAAGAGGAACCTTTGATTTGGAGAGAAACTTGGAGACAATAAAAGAACAGTGTGATTTCTCAAAGGCAATCCATCCCTCTCTCCTCATTCTGGGCCCAGCTCACTGTCTATTTTCAGGATCTGTCCAAGATGTATGTATTGATTGATGAACTCTACGGATTGTCCATACAGCTGCATTTCATAATATGGAAAATTGGCATTCTATATGCACTTGGATTTTCTAATATGGATAGTTAGTCCAAACTCTTTGGAAAGCTTATGAATCTTATTAAGGGACTTCTGCAGTGTTCTGGGACCCAACACAATCAGCATAATATCTATAAATCATCTGGAGAATCTATAGATAATCTATTATCTATATCTATTTATCTATTATACCTATCTGTCCTCTATTATCATTATCTATAGAGAATCCTTGTGCAATTTTGATTCTACATTGGCTATCCTCGATGACAGTTGTAAATGTTTTTGAGAAACATGTCTCATTGCTTTATGCCTTAATAATCAAAAGATCATGGAACAAAGTTATCTCTGTTGTTCTTTCAGCAGCAGCTGGTGACATGATGGATAGAGCTCTGATTCTGGAGTCAGGAAGACCTGAGTTCAAGTGTGGCCTCACACACTTACTATTTGTGTGACTTTGGGCAAATCACTTTATCTCTGTTTGCCCCAGTTTCCTCAACTGTAAAATGGGGATAATAATAGCACCTACTTCACAAGTAGGTAATAATACTACCTATCTACTTCATAGGTACATTATAATAATACCTCTTCATCTCCTGTGAGGATCAGTAAGATAATATTTGTAAAAAGTGCTTAGCACAGTGCCTGGTACATAGTGGTCACTATATAAATGCTCTTTCCCTTCCCTGTTCTTCCCTTCCCTCCCCTCCCCTTCCCTTCCCTTGCCTCCTATCTCCTTCCTTTTCCTTCTTTTCTCTTCCTTTCCCTTCCCTCCCCTTCCCTTTCCCCTTTCAAAGAATCATATATGATTTTGACATAGGCATGGGAGACACCTTTTTGGAGGAAGGCATTCAGGAAGAATTTGGCTATTGTAACTTGCTCTCTCCTTCTCCCACTAAGGGGAGGAGTATTGGAAATTTCACTAAGATCTCTGCAACACATAGGATATTCCAAGTGACCACCCAGACTAAAAAGAAATTTCAAATTGCCCTCACAACACATAGGGCACCTCAAATTTTCCCAACAGACCCTTTCAACACAGGACAATGCAAATCTAAATCCAAACTAACCCCACCCCTCACTGGGAAAAGCAGGGTAGCTTAAAAGGAAAATTAATTCAGAAAAGTCCTGTAGAGTTAGCAGGCTCTCAAAAAGGAATTAAGCACTTGGAGTTGGTTACTTGGGGTGTCTATATCAGCAAGCAACATATATACTATTGCCCTTCAGTCCATAAAGATGTCAGAAAATCTCCTCACACTAAAGAATATGTTCCCAGAGTAGGCCATATCACCCTCTGGGGGGCGCTGGAATGATCCAGGGGGATGTAATAGCCTCCAGTGCAGTTGGGAGGTTGAATAAAATGAGAGGGCAATGGAAGCATATGGAAAGAAGAAAAGATAAGAAAATTTTGAAAAAACCTTCATACATGTTTCATCTGTTGTGTAACAGAATTAAAGTCATTATATTAAACACACACACACACACACACACACACACAATGCAGGTTATAACTGATCAGTGGTCAAGTCCGAGTACAGGTCTTAACAATCAAGTGTTGGTAGGTGAGCATGTTGCACATTGTCCAGGGTCTAGCACACACTGGCAGGAATATGTGCATGTAATGACTTGTTCACAATAAGATACTATATGGTTATATGACGCAATATGGTGTCATCAAAATTTCAATGCAAGAAAAACCCCACAAATTTGCAATAAATTACTAAATTTAAGATATGTCATTTAAAAATATATTTTATATTTTTTGAAATGATGCAAAATTTTAAAAGTGGATTTTTAGGGGGGCGCTAAGGAATTTTTTTTAAAAGGGGGCAGTAGCCAAAAAATTTTGGGAACCTCTGCAATAAAGCAAATCTTCCTTATAATCATCTTCACCACTGAAGAAGAGGAACAGGCTATGAACAGCAGACACTGCTTTTTAAAACCTATTGAATGACCTCTTGTCACTAATTATCATCAAGCACAGTATTTAGTTCTGGCTTTGTAGTTTCTGAAAACTGTTTTCTACATTAAAGTTTACTAAAGTCGTCTGATCAGATATCTCTTCTATAATGTGTCTCTATGGCTTTGGGGAAGTCATTTTTATCTCTTTGGGCCTCACTTTCTTATATCTGTAAAATGTTGTTAGTCTATCTAAATATAGACTAATTTGTGCCTGACCTGTGGTAGAACCTTCCAAACTTAACCGGGACATAGGGGTGTCATTCTGATCCTTTTTGAGCATGAAGAACAACAACCAGCCAAGGAGGGAGTATGGGTTTAACCAGTAGTTACATGTAAAAATTTCTAGACTCTTCCAATGTGCCAATCGACTGATTAAAATTCCTTACTTTTGTAGCCACGCAGCTGTTGAATTCAGACATATTTACAATTTTCACAAATGAGTTGATTTTAATAAAAACAAGTTACTCTGAAGCATGATCTGAAACCAGATTTATGTGGGCTGGCAGCAATCTGCTATGCTAAACATATATTCATATTGCTTGGGTCTGTAACAGCCAGTTTTTTTGAGTAGTGATTATGACAGTCTTGTCTTATGCCAACGTACCAAAAAATTGGCAATCAATTTAAGATGCTAGTCTCAATGTGACTTATATGGACAGTCCTTAGGGAAGGAGAACCAGAGTTATCACTTCAATCCCTGTGGTTTGGCAGTGGACTCATGAAGGCTGACACTGGGCTGCAGAAGGAGATAGATCACTAGCTGATGCTAAAAACAAAAAAGCAAAAAACGAATCTGAGGCTTAGTCATTCCATCATTTCAAGTATATATTATTATCACTAAGGAAATTTGCTTCTCTTCTTTCTACCTTTAGGTTGCTTCTTTGTTATTTCCTTACTTCTTCAAGGCTGTCCTTTTTCATCCATTCAACAAGCATTTAAGTGTCTACTATGTGCCAAGTCCTATATTAGGTACTTGAGATATAAAAAGTGAAACTGTGCCTGCCCCAATGGAGCTTACAATCTATTGGAGGAAAGTCAACAAGCATTTATTATATACCTAATTATGGACCAAGAGCAGTCCTAGGTACTGGAAACATTGTACACTCTCTAATACTGCAATACAATATCTATGGTCTATGATCATATAGACTGAGGAATTCTTTTAATAATGCAGACTGTCAATCCCTTCATGCTTGCTTATCCTTTCTGACTGTCGTCCATTTTCTCCAACCTAGCAACATTCACACAGACAAACAAATACGAGGTATATATGAAGTAAATATAATATATCAGGGGGAGTTCCCTAATTCCTGGGTGTGAGGAGGCAGATCAGAAAAGGCTTCAGACAAGAAGTGGCACTGGAGAAAAACCCTGAAGAAAGTACCTGGATAAATATGTGGAGGGTATAATTTGGTCGGGAACTACAGTAAAGCTGGCTTATATCTATATTGTATGCAACTTCAGTTTACAAATAAGGAAAGAAATCTAAACTGCCATTGAAACAGAATCAGCTTGGTAGAGTGGAATGAGCATAGGCTCTGGCTTCAGAGGACTTTGATTGAAATCTGTTTCTAGCGGTAACTAACTGTGATAAAGGAAAACTTCTTAATCACCCTGGCCTCAGTTTCCTTATATGTAAAGTGAGGGGATTGAAATAAATGACTTCTGAGGTCCCTTTCAGCCCCAGGGCTTCATGATCTTACACCTTACCACCCCTAACTACCACCAACATCATTTTACAAGATATTGAAAATTGAAAATCAGAGGTAAAGTGAATTGGGGAAGGTCACAAAGATACAATAATTTAGTAGGAGCAATGACCTCTGAGCAGACGACCTTGGTAAAGTTTAACATGTGCCGCTAACCGGAGGGTCAGTAAGTGTTTAAGAGGGAAAAAATGATCATTAAAAACCCTGCTGAACTGGAAATCATCAAGCAACTTGGAAAATAAATGTAAACAAGCATACTGTAGTCCTGCCATCCTTTGGTGGGGTGGGGTAAAGGCTCAGAGTCAGTTTCTCATCTGTCAGCTTCTTAGCAAACTCCAAAGGGTTCAGGGAGAATGAGATCAACCGTTAGTGGTGATGAGAGGTTTAGCAGCCTAGAGCTAAAGGAAAAAAAACAAACAAACAGCCTAACAAAAGTTACCTGCGGTAATTGTGAATGCACATCTTGAAACCAAATGCAAGCTATTACCATCTCTCTTCAACCGAAGTGAATGGAAGAACTGCCCAGAGAGGGACAGAGAGACAGAGAGAGAGACAGAGAGAAAGAGAGAGAGAGAGAGAGAGATACTGGCTGTATCTGGGAAACCCACCTCTTGCTTCATACGCTTCTGAGGAACAGAGATAGGATTTTTAACTATTGCAATCCAGATTCCTTCCCTCCTTTGAGGACACAGTTGAAGACTAATTGACTTTTTTTGTTGTTGTTTATGGGGTGGAAGACTATTGATTACGAAAGCGGGGAATGGCTTTGCGCCTCTGTATTACTTGGGGTGGAAGGGGAGAGCTAGGAGGCCCCTGAGAGGTGGCAAAAGACTACGTGAAAGAAGGCAAAAATTGAATGGAACACGTGGGGACGGGGGCGTGGCTGATGGTGACACAGTGACGCAAGAGGAGGCGGGACTTCCATTGACAGGGAGGCGGGGCTTGCTCCTCCTCCGGCCCCCTCCTGCGGTGTGTCAAACAGTCAGGCACAACGCTCCCCCAGCAGAGCCCCCGGCCGGGCTGGGTGTGCAGTGCGGTGTGGGGGGCGCGCGCGTTGCGCGGGTCCTCCCTCGGGCCGCCAGCCGGCATCCCTGCGCGCGCTTGCGCGCCGCGTCTCGAGCCTCAGGACCACGAACTCAGTGCCCCCCTCCTTCCCCGTGCCCCCTCCCCTCGGGGGCCGCGGGGGGCGCCGGGGCTGGCGGGGCCCCAGGAGTATGTGAGGTCCTGCTCTGGCCCGCAGAATGGTTCCGGGTTTAGAGTTCACAGGTCAGAGTTGACTCCCTGAAAAGTGCAGCTGGTTTGAAATGCAAGATGGCGGCGGCAGCGGGGCCGTGAGGAGAGCCGAGCCCGCGGCGGCGGCGGCGGCTACGGCGGGGGACCAGAGCACCGAGGCGGCAGCGGCCCCTCCAGGTAGCAGCGCTCGTGCAGAGGGCGCGGGCCGCCTGCCCCCCCCCGCCCCGGGGCAATAGCCATTCTTCTTGGTACTCACCTTTTGGGGCTGCGGGGGACTCTTGGAGAAGAGAAAACCACCGTCCTCGGAGCTAGCGGGAGGAGGCTCGAGGCCCGGCCGCCTGGGGCGGGGGACGTGGAGGGCAGAGCCTTCCCCTCTTCCTGGGGGTGATGGGGAGGATCCTGAGGGGAGGACGAAGTCTCCTGTCTTCCCCGGGGGTGACGGGGAGGAGGGTGAGGGGAGGACGGAGCCTCTCTCCTTCCTTACCCTGAGATACTGGAGAGGAGGAGTGTGGGGAAAGTACACAGCTTTCTTTCCCTCCCACTGGGGATGTTAGGACCAGGGGAGAAGGTGAGGGAAGGACAGAATCTTCCTCCAGATTTTCTGGGTGGCATTGAGAGGATGGAGAAGGGATATATCCTTTTGGGAAGGGGATGAAGACTGATGGGAGGGCAGAATCTCCTCCCCTGATGGGGGTATGGAGGGGGCAGGGCAGGAAGAGTGAGGGGAAGACAGAACCCCCATCCTTCTGGGATGACGGAGAGTTAGAGAAGGGCAGGGCTTCCTTCCATCTCCTGTAGTGTTTCGGCATTTGAGGGCAATGTTTGTTTTCTTCTCTTGGGGGGGGGGTCACATAGACCGGCACATTTAAGGTCTTGAGGAAAAGACGTCAGTGAAGTACTGAGCCTTGATTTCTGAATGTCAGGACCTGTATTAGCTAGACCTGTGTTAAGACTTGGGGTCTTAGTGAAGGAAAGACTGGAATCTCAGGGCAGAGAAAATGAAGGGCACTGGTAAAAATAATTCAGTCCTCCTTAAAGGAAGTCATGGGGTCGCAGCTCATCCAGTTTGTTCTTTAGAAGACAGTGTGTTCTTTAGGAATATGTATTTAGTGAGGGACTGGTTGAAGATGCAGAAGTCGTCAGAAGGATGTGCAATGTTAGGACTGGGCTGATAGGAATGAAAAAAATTACTGGGGAGAAGGGCAGGTGTTAATAGAACTATAAACTACACCTTTATCCCCAACAGAGACACCAGTTTTCTCAGGAATATAGAAGAAAGAAATTAAACTCCTTGGGGATGTGGGTGACAGTGAAGGAAGAATTAAGCTTGTCTTGTGGTGGAGTAGTGTGGGGAGATTTTTGAAGTGGGGAATTTTATGAGTTCAGAATGGGAACATTTGAGACAGGGAAGAAGCAAAGAAGCTACTTGAAGAGTTCCTGTGTGAATGCTTCCTGTGAAGGAAGAGCTACTTAGCAAGAGTATAATTCAGTAATCATTGAGTTAACATATATGTTTGTATAAATATCAGGATTAGGAACCCTGAAGTTCACTGGAAGAAAGTCCCATTTGGGGCCAAAAAAGAGAATGAGACAAGAAGTAGGTGGCTTATTTCTTTGTGGAGAAAGAAGCTTCTTGCAGGCAACCTCGGGAATGGTTGATATCTGTTTGCTTCTTTGTTTGGTGTTTTTAGATCTATTTGGTATGTTTTTGTGTTTTCTCGCCTTTTCACTTCCTGCTCAAGTCCACTGATAGTGTTACATTATTTCCAGAAGGATGAGATGTCTTTTTTCCAAGAGAATTATTCACAAACTGTTTGGCTGGAGGTGAGGATGAGCAGATATTGAATGATGGTGGTAATATATTAATCTAAACAGTTGATTTCTTAAATAGTAATTATGTTACTGATGTTAAACTAAAGAATTGTATATGGGCTGTCAACAGCAATTATGAGTTAATGGAATGAAAAAGAAAGGGCATTCAACTGACTTCTTCACTCCATGTTCTGTTTTTCTCTTTCTCCCTGCCTTTTCAGGGTTAAGTAAATGTGTATATAAAACAAGAATTAAGTTTTATGAATCCTTTAAATATAGAATACTATTTCATTCATCAGTTTCTTTTCTATGTAAGCAATTTCACCAAATGCTTTAAATATAATTAAAATGAAAAAAGAAAACAAGAAGAGAATGAAGCTGAGGAATCAGTAGCTCATGCCAGCTGTGATTCATGCAGATTTCTTAAGCTGTTCTCCATTTACAAGAGCTTTTGAGTTCTTACATTAAAAGTACATTTATAAATTTCAAATATTATTATGGAACAGTTCATAATTGCAGAGTTTTCAAAAACATTGTGTGTGTGTTCTGTTCTTCAATTTTGGAAAGGTTCATGTAGCTCTAGTTTAACATTCGGTTCTTAACAGATTAAGATGGGCAGACCAAGAGTAGCACCATTGCCAGATGGTATGAAAATATGCTAATACTGAAAATGCAAATGTGATTGTGGTAGGGAACACTCATTAATAGACTTCTTCCTGTTGTAGCTGAACTTTATCATTTCATTAGATTTGGGGGCCATTATTCTAATTTATAACAATGGAACAATTATTTTATATTTAATGTTTTCATTAAAAAGTCTAAAAGATATACATTAAAAATAGAGAAATTTTCAGTTTTGTTAAGATAATAGTTCACAAATGATGGATTATATTGGGTATTTTCCCCCTTTATTACGTATTTTATTTTAACATGTGAAAACAAAGTGTTTTAAAGTTATATGTTTTTATACCTTATTGTATTAGTGTATAAAGGAGAAATGCAGAGAAATAATTTATTGTAAGTAAAGTTTACAGCAAATGCTATACTCAAACGGTAGTGCTGGTACATTGTTTTTTTCTGGTTATCAGTAAATTAATCACTTAACATATTGTTGAAACCACAATGAAAGTTTCAGGATTTATTTGGGATTTGGAATAAACTACTTTACTTGAATTTGGGAAGTACTAAAAATTTTAGGCTAAAGGTGGTTAGTCTGTTTTAAAAGCTAGTATTTTATGATTAGCACAGTCTTCATTTCAGTATTAGAAGTATCCTCTTCAGCACTGTAAGATGCATTGTAAAAGTGCATCACATTTACTGTTGAGCTTCTGATTTTCCTTAAAATCGTAAAAGTCAGTATACAATTTTATGTCAGAATTTTTGTAAATTGCATTTCATTGTCAAGAGTATGCTATGAGACTTCAAATGAGAGTAGATACTTCTGTAAGATTACTAATAGATGTTTTCTTGTGATTGTTGGCTTAGGTATATTTGTTTATGCAGTTATGAATACTTAGGTTTGCATAACTAAAGCAACTGATTTAATAGGATAGAAATAGAATTTCTCCTGGAGATCTCCGTATTTTACACAGCTAATTATTTGAAAAATAAATAGGTATCAATTTGTATGTGATTGCTTTTTTGTTTTTTAGGGAAATGTAATCTTAGTTGCATTTTGTGTGTTTTACAGTGTGATTGAGGGAATAAAATCAGTTTTGTAAAACTCAAATATCTTAAATCAGCCTCTCTTTAAAAAGAAAAGTACAGTGTTGTTTTATCCAAGTATTCAGTGCATCTGGACTAATGTGATATATGACTTGGAAAAGAAAAGTTGACACTGAATTTTAGCCTAGGCAATCAAATATTATTGAAAATTATCTTAACAGAATTAATGATATTCAAAATTTTGAATATATTTAATTAATTGAATATATTTAATTTCAAATTGCTTAAAGGATGGCATGATAAATAATTCTAAGCCTTTTAAAGTCAAAGAAACGGTATTATTTGGGGAAAATATTACAGTTGTATATTCTTATACTATAATATATTTGCACTTGTGTTGAAAATCATTAATGCTTTAACATGTTTATTAAAGTTTGGCATCAGAACATTTCATATGTGGCATTTTGGTTCCCTCTCTTTTTTTTTTCTCCTTTTCCCCTCAACTTTTGGTTATTGGGACAAGGGATTGTGGGGTGGTACTGTTGTTTCTAACTACTTTCCTTGTCTCTGTGTATTTTGCTCCATCCCAGATGTACTCCTTTGAAGTTCTTTGTGTAACCCAACAGGGCCTCTTAAAAGTTTTCGGAAAATGTGACCCATACCTAAACAAAACAATAATAAAAAATTTAAAAATTCAGAACATTTTCTCCTCATTATCGCTAAGATATTCATATGAAATTCCTTGTTAGTTTTGTAAGATGACACTTAAAAAGTTGTAGAGAAAATGTGCATTTCAAGAAAAAGCCTTTCAGAAGGGAGTACAGAATAACTTCTGTCTTTGACTGAGGAAATAATTATCCATTAGTATCTAGTTGCTAAAGCTGACTGGATATAAAATTGTTTATATGGTCATAACATGAAATGGAAAACAAGATTTGCTTGACCACTGATTCATTTATGTATGGTACATATTTTCAGCAAACTTAAGAAGCATCTTTTTGGGTTATTCAGAGAACTTTTAGACTCATTATATAAACACTCTGGAAATCTCAGACTTTTATAGTCAATGTAACCTCAATTTAGTAGGTTAAATAATGTGATCTCTAACATCCATTATAGGTCTAAAATGCTGTTTGTGTAAATGGGAATGGTGCAGTTAATTCCTGTCCTTAAAATCCATCTATTAGACATCAAAAAACACTCCAATTTCTTAGGGTTTTTCTTAAAAATAAACTTTCTCAAATGTATTAAAAAGATGACTAAATTTTTAGAAATCTTAAAGCAACTTTTAGAAATTTACTTTGGTAATTTAGAAGGAGATGTTCTAAAATGCATTATTGGTGCTAGTTTTAGGAATCAGTGTAGTATCAGATAGGTCTAATCATTTTTGTCATCCAAAGTATTTTTTAAAAACAACCTGAACAAAACCTACATTTTGAACCAGTGGAAACTTATCCATAAAAATTTACCCCAGTATCTCCACTCTTTTTTAATCATTCTTTTGTTCTGTGAAGCATTTTGCAAATACTGTGAAATTTGAAAGCATAATCTAATAGGCCACTGATTTTCTGCAATATCAATTATTCATTTTGGAACACATTTAAAATTTGGCAAATGTTTCCATCAATATCTCTAGTTCATATCCTGTTGAAGGCTAAAGAGTAACAACAAGAAGGTACCAAATGGAATCTGTAGAATTCCAATCATAGGCAAAAATTTAATCCACTGGACGTACCAGGAAATGCTATTTATTTTCTTCTAAGTGCAACACAATTCTTAAGTATCAGTATTAAATGCTGTTCAGAAAGATATATAGTAAGAATTATGAATAGAATTGTTATTATGTAACTTGAAAAAAGTCTTGGGAAGACTTGTTTGCTATATCTGAGGAAGCTCCCTGACAACCACAAATTATGCATCTTGGAAAATTATCTTACTATATACGATAGAGCTCTGACTTACATATGAAAAATAAATCCAATATTATATACACTTTAAAATACAATTTTTAATTATTGTGAGAATGAGAAAATCACTTGAAATATTCATTATATTCCCCTGAAATCTTAACTACTCTGGTTATATACCATAATTTTGGAAATATATCTTTTGCTTTTCTGAGAAAATTTTTCCAATTTATTGGATGGAATGATGATAATGCTCATCCAACAAATGTTTGGATGCTGCATTTTAAGATGTGATCATTGTAAAGACATTTGCTACTAGTTTTCTAGCAGAAATAAATAGGTGGTTTCCTTAAAACAGACTGTCACCATCTGCCATTGTACTAGATATTACTGGATACCACGGGTTTACTGTTTAACTTGGACTATTGGTTTATGTGATTTAGCACGAATAAAAACAATAACAACAACAACTTCACTTTAAAATAAGACACATTGGTTAAAACAGGTAAAAATATTGGCATGTTTAAGTCTAAATATACACACTTCCAAAATCATAGTTTAAACTTGCTATATTCAATTTTAGCAAAGAGTCATAGGATCATAGTTTTTAGAAACTTTGTTGATAATCTAGTTTTTTACTTATGGGAACATAGACTCAGAGAGGCTAAGTCCAAACAGGTAAGAAAAAAGCAGGATTAGGGTTTGAAACCAGGTCCAAATCCAGTGTTTTCCTGTTACACCAAAGTTATTTTTCAATTTAAAAATTCTACCCAGATTTTTAAAAAGTTAATCTTTGCACCTTAATTTTCAAAATTATAGTATACAAATAACATGTAACAAACAACTTTGAAAGTTTGAAAATGACTGCTTACCTACAAGAATATTCACATTATGGAAAATTTATCATAATAGAAATTTTGTTTGGTGGCTTTATATCAATTTATTGTATAATCTGATAAATACATTTGTAAACAGTGCATACCCATTATACCCATAATGTTAGTTTTGGCCTTGTAGATGATTATTTTGACATTTTTCATGAGGAAATTTAAAAGATCTTTTTCTTTTTAACAAAAGCCTGGACCTCTCCTGTAAAGTTTTGCTAACTCCTATATATATAAAACCTTACATGAATGAAGAATATACTTGAAATGTATCAGGACCTAACTGTCTTTATTCTCTTTGTAGGAAAAGGTGCATGGCTAATTTGTCGTTTGTAGTTAGTAATGGCTTGAGCTAAACTCCTCTAACTGGAAGGCATTCCCTGCTTCTTCGAAGGATAGAGTACTGGAGAAAATGTGGCAAGTATGTGTTCCTTGGTTTTGGAATGGGAATGTTAGATATTTCTATACTTAATTTATACTCTAGGGAGATTAATACTGCAGGTGATCAAGTCTTTCAAAGTTCACAAAGCTGGTATGTAATTAAAACTATATTTTAAAAGCAATGAAGATATGGCTACTTGATTTTAAAATATACTATTACTTTGAAATATACTTAAAATATATCATATACTATGAAGATCTTGATGTAGATACAAGTAGATTTCATCAAATTTTATTGTGCTTGTGCTTACACATTAAGAATATGGAGAGAAAAATCCCAGAGTCCTTCAAAATGTATACCCTGATAGCGAGCGATTAAACTAAAACTTGTTGTTTCATTTCTCTTACAGTTACCTAAATCAAAATATTTAATAAAGTATATAAGCTTTTTTTAAAAACTAATTTTGAAAGTTTTTATGTTACATATTATCAGAATTTGACTTTATCTGTTAATTCACTGACTTCTTTAGGAGTCATTACAAACATTAGCCATTACAATCTTGTTCAGTATATTTTACAAAATACTTTAATCCAACTACCAAAACTACAGTAATTTAGCAAACATTTTTTAAGTTCCTACAATAATACAAGACAAGAATTTGTTTAGCAGTATATGAAAGCTCCACTTTCACCTTTTCCCTCAAATAAAAGAGTTCACCTTGTTTGACTTTATTAATACTGATAACTTTTAACTTGAAAGTAATTAAACTTTAATCCTTATGACCCCTGGTAAAGTATGTAAATGTTATGCTTTGGAGTTTAGGGACTACAAATGCACAGGCAAGTAGTTTCTTTGAGCTTTTGCAGATAATCTGGGTTAGACCTGGAATAGCACTTTTGTGTCATAGCTTTTGTGGTAGATTTAACACCCCTTCTTGAAAGAAGCAGGGAAATTTTATTTTTGTCACAAATTTTGCAGTCACACTCAGACATTTCGCAGTTATCCAAACTTTGTAATAGTGGTAAGGATTTTCACTTTAGGACTAATATTTCAATATATATACTATTACTGTAATAATGTTGGATATATGTGTTAGAAGTATGTATTCCTAACTATTTCTAACTGTACGTTTATCTAAATACACACATACATGTATGAACTCTCTAATGTGTTAGAAAAATTGTATGTTAGAGATATAAGATAATAGTCTCCCTAAAGGAGGAGTTCAAAGAGTCCAGGGGTAGTTCTGCCTTTCTTCTACTTTCCCATTCTCATTTAATAAAATTATTAAGGTTAGCTACCCAGTATTGTGGGATTAAGGGCAATACTTGTGCAGCATAGGGCAGTATAACAGGCACCAACAGTTTTCTCTGAAGCAGTGGTTTCACTGGGGACAGAAATCCATCAGATGGGAATATGATTGCTACATTTTCAACGAAGAATGGTTAGAGTCAGATGAGGCAAGATCAGTTTTATAGGAACTATGAGTTATCATAGCTGATAAACTAAATTTACCTGCTGAGGACTCAAGGGACCTATAGGCCATTCTTATGCACATTCACGGCCTTTGATCATCTATGCTTCTGCTAATACTCCATAACTGTGTTAGCAGTGAAGCCTGGACATCATCCTCCAGTTAGTTTATGCAGATACTAAAAATAGAAGACACGTGTTAGGTTGGTCAAGGTTCTTAGTGGCCTCCCACTTATGCTTGTCCAGTGCATAGCCTTTACAAGTACTGGAGGTGGCCCTGTCAGTGCTGGGAGGCCAGTCCTTCCCTAACCATTAGTTGTTATGGGAGAGGAGATCATGGCATTGGGAGGGGATTGTTAAAGACCTAGATCCAAAGCAGTGACTGGGAGAAAACTAGGTAGATACACATCTCTTTCTCTGTCTTTGCACTGGTTGTCCTTTATGCCTGAAATGTTCTGCCCTCTCATAAGAGCTCGTTAGTTTCCCTGCTTTCCTTCATGACTCAGCTCACATTTCATTTTCTAGGGGGCAGCCTTTCCTGATTTCTCGTGTTGCTCATGCCTTCGCTTTTAAGATTACCTTCATATATTCTGTATATGTCTTGAATGTACCTAAATATTTACATGTTGTTTCCATTAGAATATATGCTTCTTGAGAGTAGGTATTATGTAGGTTTTGTTTTTGCTTTTGCCTTTCTTTATATCCGTAGAAGTTAGCACAGTTCCTGGCACACAGGTAACAAATACTTGTTGTCTGACTGCCTGATTGAGAGACATTGTTAGGGAGCTTTAGTCAAACGACCATAAAACTCACTGCTTTCTTTATATGGAAGAACCAAGTGTTCCTGACATCTGTCTTAGGGGAGGGTTAGTAAGCACAGAGGTTTCAGACCAGTAGCCAGGCTTGATTACCATATTGCAGGAATTTTCTTGGGATTGGATGATGGCTGATGGTGAATGCAACCTCTGGGGTAGTTTGTATATCTGGCTAAGTAGCTTTTAACTCTTTCAGACTGCCCATACAGTGATGGGAAGGGTTAGAAAAGCCAAGTATAGAATTCCGAGTTGATGTATTCTGAATGGAGATGGTAAAGGTGTTGTTAAAGCAGAATTTTTTATTTACTGTTAAGACAGGCCAGTTATCTTGATGGTAACTAATATAATGGAAATCTGGTTCTCTTCCATTTGGCCATTGCTTTGGGGATGATACACAGGAGAAAAAGTGGCTCTTGGCATGCAGTATGGAAAAGAGTGTTGACCAAAAAAGGGAAATTAATTGCATTTAAGCATAAGGTAAATGGGTAAGCCAGGAAGAAGCTAGGCTCTTTCTGAGAGGAACTTTTGTACTGCCTACAGGTAGGCAGGTGGGAGTGGGCATATGGCACAAGGAAGGAAATAGATTATATCCACCACTACCATGTAATGATGTCCTGTCCCTGGGATGAGTCTAGATTTGTAATGAAGGAAGGGGCTACTGAGGACTAAGATCACAGTGTTATACTGAAGGATTGCAGCACCCTTTTAGGTTTTCCAAAGCAGTCCTTGGCCTGGATATAGGTTGCACAAAATTGATTTTAGTGACTTATGTGACACCAGACCCAGAACCACCAAAAATCTGTCCTACATTTTCCCATGTGATTGACTGCTTTCTACAACAGAATCACCACCTGTTTTGCCTTATGAGACACATACAAGTGGGATGCACTTGTAAGAAAAGGAGGCAGTTTGATGTGGAGCAAAAGAGAGCTCAATTTGGAGTCTAAGGACCTGATTTCAAACTGTGGGCCTCAGTTTCTCCAGATTTAATACGGTGTTGTTGCAAGAGACTCTTAAGATCCTTTTCAATACTATGATCTCAGATGGATTCCACTTCTCCTTTCCAAAATTATGATCTCATATAAATTCCCCTTCTGAGGAGCGAGTCAGGTCTTTGCCTAATGAGGTCAGGTGAATTTGAATGAAATTACCCTGTTACTGTAGTATAATACTACTGTCTCTTACTGTGGTAGGATGAGTACAGTGTTCTTGATCCTTTGGATTGTCTGGGTTAGGGGCTTTTACTTAAGGGCTTCCAAACATGGATTTTTGTGACAGGGTATCAGCTTAAGAAATCTGAGTTATAATGTATCTGGAAAACAGAACTCTTGGGAGAAAAATAGACCTACAGGATCAGTTGATGATTGAATTTTGGAACTGACTCAAGGTATCTGAGAGATTATGATTAGAAGGTACTGCTTGAATGGTTATGCAAAGAAAGTAGTGATTAATGAATCAGTGTGAACCTAGAGGGGTATGTTTCATAGGGTGCCTTGAGGACTTGTCTTTGGCTTTGTAATGTTCACCTTACATTTTTAACAATAATTTATTAAGCATTTACTGTGTGCCAGGCATTATGGTAAGCACTGGGAATACAGAAAAAGGCAAAAGACAGTTCCTGCCTTCAAGGAACTCCCATTCTAATGAGAGACACAACATGCAAATATTTACATAGTACAAATTGTAGATAGAGTAGATAGAAAGTGACCTCAGGGGAAGGCAGTAAGCAGTAGGTAGCTAGAAAAGTCCCCCCAAAGAAGGTAGGGTTGAAGTTAGTCTTGAAGGTAGACATAGAAACTATGAAGTGGAGGTGAGGAGGTGGAATGCATTTCAGGCATGGGGGATAGCCTGTAAAAGGCATGAAAATAGGAGATGGAGTATTTATGCAAGGAACAGCAAGTAGGCCAGTGCAGCTGGATCATACATGTTTATAACTCCTTTATCTCACTGCTTACTGCTCATTCCATTTCCAGATAGTTTTAAATGTTAAGCAGTTTCATCCTTATATCAAACATAATAACCTAATTTCTACAATTTCCACCCAGTCCTTTCAGTGCTGCCCTCTGAGGCCAAGGAGAACATATCTAAACCTGTCAAGTCTACATGAACATCCTTCAGGTATCCCCTAACTTGCTCCCTGCCCAGGTCTTCTAGTCTTCAGGCCAAATACACATTTTGTTATAGTTCTTTTTTCTTAGGTTACAGGAGTAGAGATGGCATGCCTCTAAAATTTTCTAGGAGAGAGATAACATACTAGATCCACAAAGATCTTCACAAACTAAAATGGTGGGTTCAATCTAATGACATGAATTTAATAGGCATAAAGTCTACACTTGGATTAGGAAAATGACTGCATTAAATATAAAATGGGGGGGTACAAGCTGGATAACAGTTCATGTGAAAAAGATGTGTGTTAGTAGACTCTATTCAATATATTATCTTTGTGAAATGGCAGCCAAAAGATTAAAATGATTGCAGGTTACATATTAATAGAGACATAATTTTCATAAGAGGAGAAATGATAATACTCTTCTCTATACTGGTTAGACACTTTGGAGTATGGTGTCCAGTTCTGGGTCACACAATTAATAAATGGCAGAAAAGATTTGAAATCAGATCTTCTGAGTCCAAGTCCTGTACCTTTTATTTTTTTTAAATAATATTTTTTTTCAATCTCTGAGGTATGGACCTAATTGTAGTATTGCTAGGTCAGAGAGTATCTACAGGTTAGTGACTTTAGGGGCCTATGCC